CATTACAGAAAATAATGAACTTTATCACAATATGCTAATTTTGAGATAGGGATTTTTGGTTTTCTTTACTTTTTTTGCCAAAATCATCAATATTAAAACAAGAAAAGGCTTGGACTACTTCAGTTGGTGTGCAATGAATCTAAAATATATGAAAGTTTAATGTTTATCAGTACATTACAGAAAATAATGAACTTTATCACAATATGCTAATTTTTTGAGAAGGACTTGTATAATTTGAAACATTGAACGTTGCTCCAAAATTGTCTGCGTTCCAAAAGTTAGGTTTTCTTCTGAATGACGTATATTTACGTTGGTAAATGTGTCGCTCCTGATGATTACTCTTCTCTGACTCCACGTGTAAACATGCTGAGCTGTAAAACATTTGCTTTATCTGACAGGTGTTTACTTTTGAGGGCCAGTTTCTGCTGAAGTTTGGGGAAAAGGGCACCAAGAATGGGCAGTTCAACTATCCCTGGGATGTGGCTGTCAACTCTGAAGGCAAGATCTTGGTCTCGGACACCAGGAACCACCGTGTGCAGCTTTTCGCTCCCGACGGCTCCTTCCTCAACAAGTACGGCTTTGAGGGGGCTCTATGGAAACACTTCGACTCCCCCAGGGGAGTAGCCTTTAACCATGAGGACCACCTGGTCGTGACGGACTTCAACAACCACCGGCTCCTGGTGATCCAGCCAGACTGCCAGTCGGCTCGCTTCCTGGGCTCGGAGGGGACCGGGAACGGGCAGTTTCTGCGGCCGCAGGGTGTTGCCGTGGACCAGGAGAACCGCATCATCGTGGCCGATTCCCGCAACCACAGGATCCAAATATTCGAACCCAACGGGAACTTTTTATGCAAATTTGGCACGCAGGGGAGCGGCTATGGACAGATGGACCGCCCCTCTGGCGTGGCTGTGACGCCTGATGGCGTCATCGTGGTTGTTGACTTTGGGAACAACCGCATCCTCAAGTTCTAGAAAAATCTATTTTTGCATTCTCTCCCTCTGTTTGACCTTTTTGCAGTTTTTTTTTGTTTTGTTTTGTTTTGTTTTTCACAATGAAGGAAATGGAGGCGAGAGAATCAATCAACAGAAAGGGATTTCAGGGAGGACTGAGAAGATGCTGAGAGGAAACAATTTATTATTTTTAATGCTCCACACTTTTCACTGAAGCCTTTACCTGTAGTAAATACAACAAATGGGGACCTTTTCAAATTGATTGTTGGTTAAAAAAAAGACTTTCAGCTGCTCTCAGTTCTCTCTGTCACCCTTGTTTTTAATATACATCTCAGGGAATTTCTCACTTCTTGAAATCTTGTACCCTCTGCTCCACACCTACCTCATTTAGCTCTTTGTGAATGTACTCATAGTCATTGAGCAGAGGTTTTAGTCCGTGAAGTTTTACAAAGAAAGTCTACCTCTATACTTTATTTAAGAGACAAAAAAAATAATAGATTTGTGGGTTGATATTTGCACAGGATTAATAGAATTCTTGCTGTGCGTTGTTTTGTTTTTTTGTTTTTTCAGATATGAGTTAAAGTGAAGCTCCTTGAATGTTGTTGCTGGGACAATACTCAGACCGCTGCAGAGGCTGCGTGATTGATTCTGATCAGAGGGCTTCGCTCGGAGCGAAACGAGGGTTCAGTTCTGTCCTTTTCCTGCTTTTAGAATAGTCAATTTTCTTCCCCCCTACCCTTAGATAGATCGACCATTTCTCTATTTAACTTTTGCGAATGATGACATGTCATGGTAGCCGAGCACGACTGTGCAAAGCCAAACTCGTTGGAATCAAAATTAGCTCAGGTCATCCTAGGACTGATTTGAAATGATCAGTGATTTTCAGTCTACTGGCTAACGTTGATTTGATCAATTTATTGATGAGTATAGATATAAGGTTAAGAAAATCAGCTCTAACATGATCTGTTTAAAAATACTCGCCTAACCCCTAAATATATATCAAAGGCTGAATAAACTTGTGTAAAAAAATAAATAAATAAAATGTATGTCCAGTTGTTGATGTAAACGATAAATAATATGCAAAGAAAGCATTGTTTTCTCCAAACAAGAGAGGACCCACAAAAAGATTTAGGAGTTGAATCCTTTGAAATCTATTAGTCATGTTAAAAAGCGTTATATATAGAACACCTTTTAAAGAAGGCATGCTGTTTGACAAAAGCCTCAGAAGTAGACACGTAATTTGGCCGTCCAGAGGACAATGACGACATCAAATGAAAGGCCTAACATAACAATCTCTTAGATTTAGATTGTGGTTGAAAGCCACAGCCCTGGCTCCTAGGGTCAGGGGCTTAGTGCAGTCCAACGAGGGGGCGCCATCACATCGCCCTGCTCTATTTATTTATGCTTGGAGTTAAGGAAACGTCTCCAGATTGCGCGTTAGTAGACAGATTCCTCTAAAGATGGAGGTCTACAGACCAACTACTAGAGTCAACCAAAGTTAGAATTTCTGCACAACAGCCGACTGTAAATTTGGCAGTTCAAAAATTTAAAATCCCCCATTAACCTCTTTTTGTTTATCTTGATTGACGACAAACCTGAAGCTCCCAACAACTCGTGGAGTTGAGTTCATCGCACTGTCTGCATTAGGCGTTGAAGAACGAAGTTCTCGGACTTATCGCTGAGAACAAGCCCCGCCCCCCAGCTGTGAGAGCAAATATAGAAAGTAGATTCTTCTCATCCCGGAACCAAAGAGAAACCCTTTCTCCTCATGTGTTGTCTCATCCAATGAAGCCATAGTTCAATCAATTTGTAACTTGAAAAATCATCCTCCCCTCGAGCAGTAGATACCTTTTTATAATGGTGAAAAAATCAAGGAGGGGTTGGATCTCCTTCAGAAACACTCAACAGTTTAATTATTAGACACTTTTTTAAAGCTTAAAAGAAAAACGTCTGAAGATATTCACTGACTCTCACCTCTGAGATGATGGATTTCCATCCTCATATCTCAGATATCCTTCACCTCAACCGCTGTTTTACCTCGTTTTTTTTTTTGTGTACCTCAACTTCTGAATACCTCATATTTATCTTTAATAGCTACTGTGCATTTAAACATTTAAATACCTCAACTTGTTTTACTCGTATGTAAGCATAGAATGTTTTTACATCATAAATATCTTCTCGTTTCACAGTACAGCACATGTCTTGCAGCACAAGGACCAAAGATCATGGTACTGTTTTGAGTCAATAGTTTTGTATGATGGCCATTATTGCTCTGTATTGCAGGTATTTAAGCAGCGTTTGCTCTGTTGAATCTACTGTAAACTGCCTGGTTAATTATGCCTTTTATCACCAAAAAAACAAATATTTCTCATAAGAGCATTGTGCCAAATTGATCTGTGAGAGTTCTGTGCCAAACTGGATTGGCGTTTGGACCACGCTTGTAGATGGAAAAAGTGTCACTGGACCATTATATCATAGATGTTAAATCAGAGCAGGCGAGGATAAATCCTCTCCCTCTGATTGGATGCACTTAAGAGGGCTGGGCCCTGTTTGTCTTTACCTCATGACGACGACGACGAACATGCAGGTTCCACATGTACTTTGTCACTGTGCACCAGGGGTGAGGGGTTAGAGGAAAGTGGCCTCTTTTTGATAAGTAACAACTTAAAGTATCCGCCATGTAACACAAGTTACCTCTAATTTCAGCACAATGAATCAGTTTTTCTTTGTGAATTTTGGGATGCTTGGTGTTGGTTGTGGATGACGTTGGAACGAGGTCAAACTCAACAATTCTGACTGGTTTCAACAAACAGAGGATTGCGCCTAATGTGTGACAGCGAACTGGTTTCACGTTTAAAGGGATGTTTCATGATTTTTTTAAAGTAAGGCTGTAATAAGTACTATTTGATTACAATCACTGACAAGTAAACCAGACTAACCACTACTCTGAACACAGATGGCAGAATTTATTTTATTGCCATCTCAAAACTCAGTTATTTTTTCTAGAGAGCCATTTTGATTCCGTTAATGTAATCAAAGGGTCTAGATTTAAAATGAAACATGGACACAGTGCGCCTCCTGTTTCTGCCATACACCACATCATCTGCAAACAATAAAACAAAGTAATAATTGCTGTCTTTCACACAATGTGAAGCTACAATTTGTTGCATTTCCTCTAAAATACTTTAAATGTATGTGGCACATCACATCAGGGATTAAGTTATATCTGGTCAAACTAAGGTAAGCACATTTCAGATTCCTGGCTTTTTAATCTTGATATGAGCAGTTCAAGCAACACGACTGGATTTGTCTCTCTAATCAGGATAACTCCTGAAAAATCTGTCTAAATCTGATTTTTAACTTGTTCTAATGAGGATTTCTTCATGTCATTTGAAACGGGAAACCTCAAACCATATTTGGATTATGTTGGTATTGAAAAGTAGCTTCATTAGAGAAAGCAGCTAAAATTAGGACTTTTCTGCTCAAAATCATCGTTTCTTTTGGTCCTGCTCAGAGAAGAAGCTTCAAAGCTTTTTCAGGATTATGTTTCAGACATTTCCCTAAAGAATTATTATTATTTTACAAAATACCGTTATCACTAATCTCTCAACAACTGCTCTACATCTACCTCTCATTACACTACTTATTTAATCCTGTTTGATGTGATGGCTCACGTTTACTATCAGTCAAATATCAGGTTTGTTTTTTATATATTTGTACCATGTTTGGCTAAAATAAAACAGTGAATATTAAACAGCACCTATCAGCTGACTGACTTTAAAGACTCTGCAGAGGATTGTTTCAACCAGTGGTTGACTAAACACCTGGTTTTCATTATTTATTTCAGTTTTATTAATTTTTGTAGATGTAGATGTTCGATTTAAGATGGCCGACGGACCACTTCAGGCCCTCTGGCCTTCCGTTGCTTTTTGTTTATTAGTGGTTTAAGGGATCATGAAACATCTCTTCAACACGTGGAGCCGGTTTGAGTCCACAGATCCTGCTGCTTTGAACACACCTTGTTTCAACCAATAAGATTGTTTTAGATTTTCAGTATTACTCAGATGTTCACTCAAGGTTGCGTCAGGTTGTTGTTTTTTCTTTTACCTTTTTTTTTTATTATTAAGATTGCAGAATTCTATCTTTAAGATCCTTAGGTCTTCACTCTTAAAGAGGAAAATAATGTATTTTAAACTTTTCTTTGTATTTCATTTGTTGCATGCTTTAAAAGTTCCTTGTATTATACTGATGTCACGCAGATAGGTGGCAAAGGACTCGGATAGGGTGGGTAGCTGATTGTTGGGGGTGTTGTTTTGTTTTTTTTTTTCCAAAATATATACCCAAAGATGTGTAAATGTGCGCTAATGATTTGTTGGATTGAATTAACGTTAGACCTTTGCGATTGTATTTCCTGTTGTCTTGAGGCTCTGCAGAGCACAACCTGTTCAGCCGGCGATTCTTCAATCCCAGAGAGACTAAAGAGTTCATTATTAGAGTTTAAATTCATTTACTTACCTCTAATGAGCATCTAAATGTTCTAAAATAAATCTGCCACGTGGTTATTGGTGTGTCGGACCCAATATTAGGAACTCTTCAGGTTTAAGTTGTGAGATTAAGACTGCTGCGTTCAGCTGAATCTGGCTCCTGCACGCCGATTTGTTCCTGAGCTTTTTAGGTCTTTAAGAGAGAAGAATCGTACAGCTGCACCAGAAGACATTTGCAAGGTCATAGACCTCCTTTTTAAATGATTGTAAACTCTAAAAGACAAAAATGGAAAAAGAAAAAATGGTTTAGGAAAAAAAATTTAGGAAGAAAAAAAAACCCCTCAAAACAAAACTCAGGTTGTTCTAGCAGCTGTGTGCTGCAGGCGTCTCATTGATAAAAAAAGTGTCCCGTAGTGAAAAAGTAGTTCCCTCTAAATGACCCCTCAGTACTAGTTTGATTCCTTTGTGTCCATTTAAATATAAAAAAACAATTTATAAAATTTAAAATTAGTTTGATTAGTTTTCCCCAATTTATCTTCTTTTTTGTTTTTTGCTTACTTTTAAAAAATATTTCTCTTACAAAAAAAAAGTACAAACGCTTCACACCACTTGGTGCTCGTCGGCCCTTTTAGAATGTATTTTTGTGAAGAAAAGGGATGAGCGAGTTCTTGTTTGTGCCCGCCTGCTCCCACCGGCTGACGGGACGGGACGGGGATCCACAAAGTCCAACAGAGTAATGCCCCCACCCCCCGGCAGCTGGTGGGCCGTGCGGCGAGCTGTGTGTTTTGTGCGTCTGCGTTATCTGCGCAGACATCCACTGAATGTATCCGCCTCTCAGTCCAAGAGGCAGGGCGAGCCCGCGTGGTCCGCTGAGTTTAGATGGTGCTGCTGATGTTTGTTTATCCAAACCGCTCTGTGTGTGCGTGGGATTATCAGTTTAACCTGTGTGTTTGTGTGTGTGTGTGTGTGTGTCTGTGTGTCTGTGTCGACACGCCCTCTTAAAACACACGCTGGGCTGAATGGATGTGCAGAAATCAGGTCTGAAGTCTAAATAAGGCAGCGGAGACTATAATATATTGACCACGTGCTGCTCTCTCTGCACTCTGCGGACTTTAAACATTTCCTATGCAGTTCTTTTTGTTTTGTTTTTCTTCTTTTGTTTACGCCTAAATAAAGTTGTTTTTCTCTGACTTCAAACCGAGTTTTGCTTTCAGGCTACAAAACCACGTGTTCGGATTGTATTGCAGATCTAATCTAGTTGAAGGAAACCTGCATTTACAAGCCGTAGCATCGTCTGTGCAGAGTCCTCTTCATTTTCCCCCCTGACAGTTCGAGTGCGCCGAACGATGGCCAACAAAAACCCTGCTGAAGACGCAGGGACACGCCCCGTCTTAGTTTAAGAACTGGTTCGGACAGTCTCTGGTTTCATTGGGGGATGGAAGCGAGGGCCTCTGTCCCAATTTTAGGTCAAAACATTGTTGCTTTTTTGCCACTGCCTCCACCTCGGGCTGAGTGGAAATCCGTTACAAAGGTCAGCGGAGTGAGTCCGGTTGCACGACTTGATTTTTAGTCTGGGTTAAATCAATAAATACTGTATTTATTCATGTATAATACTAGAAATYTAACCCTAAAAATTATCCATAAAGTGTGTGTGTGTAGGGATTAGATTTGTTATGCTTTTTAATCTAAAAAATGATCGTATTATACTCGATCGTATTATACATGAATAAATATGGTAAATGAAACGGGTCAGTGTGTCATGCAGGAAGTAAAAGTTGAGATTCTTTTTTTTTACTTTTCAGGTCAAACTAGTGATTAAAAAAATCTTTTAGGCTTCTGGTGAGATGTTGAGTTGATCCAGTCAACTCTGAGTTATCTTCACGTGGAGTTGAGGGGAAGCAATCGTTGATGAATCACCAAGGCCTTTTCTAATCTAATCAAGTACAGCTAGTTGTATCTAAAAGCATTCCCCACACTCGTATATAAAGTTTACACATGAACTGAGTCACATTCCTTTTCCAAAGCTCATCACTAAAAATAAAATAAAACTGCTGTTCTAGTTGATGTCTCAAAACTGATTTTATTTCTGATTACAGATACTGCTTTAATAAATCAAAATGAGGTAAATTAAAGTCACTCTTTCTGAGCTTGCTGTAAAATTTATTTGATCAAATACGTTTTATTTTAAGCAGCAACAGTCCTTATCAAAGCCTAGTTTGAGATCATTAAAATGTTTAGTGAGCTGCTATCACCCCCTGGTGGACAAACAGAAGTACTGTTTTTTTTTCTGTCATCAAATAAATTAAAGGTCAGCTAAAATCAAACCTGAGGAAGTTCAGTTTTTTTTTTTTTT